CAGCGAGGAGCGTACGGGCGATTATTCTCTCGACGTCAGCCTGCTGAAGATGTTCGGCATCGTGTGGAGAATTTTTGACCATTTGTGTCACATCCCGTAAAAACTTCATTAGCGCCTGAGGAATAGCAAACATGTCAAATTGAATTTTTAGTTGTGGATGGGAGAACCAATAGTTGATGAATCGCCAAGAGATACGCCACGCACTTGTTGTTCGCGCATAATCGTACAAGAATTTGAATGGATATCTAACCTCTCACACTTTGAAGCGTGGTTCGCCTACCAAGCACGATGCAAGGGTTCCCTTTCAGAACAATTTTGTTGCTCTCAAAAGGAGGGAGAGGATGTTCTGAGGCATTGGCTGTGCTGTCTCTGGACCTGTGGTTTGAGACAGAAGTGGTCTCTATGCATACTTGGACACATAACTGCTTCCCTTCTCTAGAAGATGCTACCGTTTCTTAGCTGACCGTAGGCTGTAAGTTAAGGAACCGGGTTCTGCCTCTGATGTGCAATGGTTGGCCCGCTATCTCGGCAGATGTGAGTTTCATCCCATCCGGAATGCAGAAAGCCATAAATCAGCATTCTAAAGATTGCCTCTGCGCTTTTTTATTTCGGCTCGTTTATAAGCCAGTTATGTTTCGTTGCGGCCATTTTTTCTTATACACATACATTCCCAGGGAAACATGTATTTTATGGGGTTCAAGCCGATTAAAATAGCACTCTTAAGGCACGTATGTCAATCTAAGACGGTATTCCAGAACAGGTCTCACTTATGCTCTTCTTTTACTAAAAAAACAAAAAAAAGATCAGGATCTGCGTTAGCGATGACCTCAGGCGAGGTAAACGTAATAGTTTTAGCGGGTTCTGCTTTCTGTAGTGACTTAGCCTACAATTCGTCTTCGACAAAAAAAGTTTAGAGAAGAGAACAGTCACTATGCCCAACTCTCACTTAAGGCATCTATCAAAAAAGGTGAAACTGCTTAAAGTTCAGTTGCGCTGTCACAGTACCTCCTTTTTATTCTTTCATGAGTAACATTTGCCCTCTCCAGGTGCAGTTTGAGCGCTAACGGAGAGATAAAAAGCCAGTGGTTAGTTGCCCCAAGAGTTCAATCAAAGACACGTGGTACGCTTAAACACTTTGAGGGTGTTGCAAGACTATCAGCCACCACCGCTGGTCGATGTGTACTGTGGTTCCCCGCCCAAACATGCCAAGGAATGGAGATACAGGATCGTGAAACACGCTAATTTCTTCCATGCTCCGCCTTGTACCTTTTGCGGCGCAGATTCCCGTCCTTCATAACATCCGTCGTAAGCGCGCGTGTCGCGTGCGGCTCCTTGGCACTTTGCCAAGTCCTTTAATTGCGCTCTCAAATACAAGTAAAACGCAATTTCCTGATGCGGATAACATTGGAGGTGCTACAAAATAAGAACAGAAGATGATGACGAGGGCCAGAACTCAAGAGCAACTCGGCTGCATCTGCAGTATCCATCAGAGGCCGCGCATTCCCACAAAACATGAGAATAAAAACAGCCCAAGCGTCCCACTCGTTTGTTCTAAGTATTTCTATGGCTTTGGCGCCGGATTCGCGCCGGATCGTAGAAATTTACAGGCGATTTTAACTAATTTGCCTTTCCTTGATTTTTTCATTTTTGTTTTATTTACATTTACATCGTTGTGCTTCATTTCTAGCCTGTGTCATCTTCATCTCCTTGTACATGGATTTTGAAGCATGAGCAACACCTCAAATTTTATTCGCATCAGGAAATTGCGTTTTGCTTGTATTAAACTAACGAGTATGCCGTTTTTATTTTCATGTTTCGGACATACGCGGCCTCCGAGGGATGTTGCAGAAGTGGCACAGTTGCTTTTAAGTTCTGACCCTCGTCATCATCTTCTGTTCTTATTTTGCAGCACCTCCAATGTTATCCGCATCAGGAAATTGCGTTTTACTTGTATTTGAAAGCGCAATTAAAGGACTTGGCAAAGTGCCAAGGAGCCGCACGCGACACGCGCGCTTACGACGGATGTTATGAAGGACGGGAATCTGCGCCGCAAAAAAGGCATTGAGCGCGATGATGAACTAGCGTGGGTTTTTTCACTGATCCTGTATCTCTCATTCCTGCGCATGTTTGAACGGGGAAACCGCTATGCTTCGACAGCTGGGGAGCTGCTAGTCACATACACCCTCAATGTATGTGAGCGTACTATGTGTCTTTAGCAGCTCGCGGCCCGGCTTTAAAACGGCGGATTGCGATCCCACTGCAGCGCGGACACGCCATCTCGAGTTTTTTTCAGAGAGCCAGCCAATTTGGATATCCGATCACAACTAGCGGACCTTCTAAAAAATACCCTAGTCATCCAAATCCCCTTCGCGGAACCTTTTAGAAACTTTCACATCTGCGCAAAACTTGTACAGTCCCGGGACACCCCCCCCCCCCCCCCTGCCTGAAGATTCGAGAAAGTTTCATGAAGATCAGGGCGCTGGCGGGTGGGAATACTTAGAAAATATCCCGCAAAAATTCGAAAGAAGAAAAAATCCGCAAAAATTCGAATCCGCGCTAACCCAGCAGCAGGCCCAAAACTCTTAAATTCACAGCTTTCTTCTCTACGAGCCATGAAGGAGTAGGATAGGAGTGATATTGATAGATCGATATTCAATTGATTTCATGGGTTTGCACGAAAGGGTAGAAATAGGATCTCCTAAAGAAACTAAATGCGTGGCGCATCTCAAGACAGCTATCAATCAGCAGCCGAAAAGTTTTTCATCTGCTCTTATGGTAGCTATGGGGAAAGTCACTTTTGATTTTTTCTTATTGTATGTTGCGCATCTCACCTGGTTCAAATTCCTTACGAAGGTTTGGCTGACTGCAGTTTGGTCACCGTTTCTGTCGTTGTTCTCAAGTCCGGTGTACCTTAAAAATCATTTTTTTGTTTGGAAAACATCCACATGACCACAAACTTCACAGTAACGGCTATTCCTTGTCATGCTAAATGGTTACTATTGGAACAGATTCCCACAAAAGCGTGGATAATTGGCTTTAAAGACAATTCCCGCGATCAAGTGTTGCGGGTAGTTGGGCTCTGTCATGAACCAGTATCCCATAGGTAGCTTCTCAGAAGAAAAAGAAGCGGAAAAAACCTTGGGGAACCTTTGGAACCACCAGGGGGGCATGCTGGTGGCGTCAAACCTAAAGCGCCATTCTTCCGGGCGACCAATCGGCCCACCTATTCGGAATGGTTAGCCGTTACCGTACATAAGTTATTTTGAAATACTGACTAGAGATCCTCCCTCAATACGACGTAACCTGTTCCTAGAACTCAAGTAACAGCCGAGTAGGTGTCTTTGCATGTTCCCGTATGGTATGACAGTTCATTTTTATAGGGGTTGAACCATGAGTGGAAGTCCATAGAAACCAAGAAGTTTCACTCCGACCATCCAATTACTTCTAAGGTCTTTATACATGTCCTTTCAAGTTGCTCAGAGCCTTCAACTGGAACCGATCTCCAGGAGGAAAACTGCCTAAAACTGGTAGTTTCCAAAGAAAAAGATCATTTCATCAGTGCAATGTTACTTTATGGCTTGTTTTTCATGGCACCATTGTGCCCTGTAGATAAATCCCTTTAATGGAAGTGTTTTTCGAGAGTAAATCGTGGGTAAAACGCTCTCACTATGGAAGAATTCCGAACAAAGAATGTTGAAGCTATTTAACCTCTCAAGTTTTCTTTTTCCTTACCTTCCTTTATCTTATCTTCGCGGTCTTATCCGCCTGTCGAAATCATTTCCTGACGTTGTTAATGATGATCGATGGAATTCAATAGAGTTCTGTAAAACCAATTACCTATAACGGAGAATAGCTCCAGGAAGAACTTAAAAACTTAAACAAGCACTGGCTGCCGTTCTTTCATTAAAATTTGGTTTTCAAGCGGCTCAACCCTTAGGCTGCAATCATACTTTGCTGCAGCGTCCACAAGCGACCACCAGCGTCAAAGAGCCACCATCAGCGTTCCGAGCGCCCGTCAGCGTAAGCTGACGGACGCTCGGAATACTGATGAGCGACTTAGAAAGTGTCGATATCGATCTAGCGTGTGCCAGTGTCCACCAGCGTCCGCCAGCGACCAGGAGAAGGGATTACGAGGTAGGAGGGAGCAAACAGTTGGACTAGGCGTCGTGAAATTGCGGCGTGTGCAACTGCACCGAATATCACACAAAACAGTACTCCTGGTCTCTGGTGGACGCTGGTCGACGCTGGTGGACGCTGGTGGACACTGCCAATCGGTAGAACGATTTCTAATATACTTTCCTAGTCGCTGACGCTGATGGGCGCTCGAAACGCCGATAGGGGCCGGCCTGTTTACAGTGGATGGTGGCCAGATGGACGCTGCCGCAAAGTATGAGCGCGCCTAACGGAGAGCTGGGCAATCGACCGGTCCCCTGATAACATGGGCAAATTTTCCGAGCCACTTGTGGTCCTCGCTGTAAGTCTTAGCAGGTACAACGTTGAGCCAAGGCCCATTCTCATCAATGAATGTTTTATTCGCACAGAGTGGTCTAACATATCCCGTCAACGGATTTCCAGCGAATGCGGTGATTACGATGTTTTGATGCGCTCATTTTGGCACGGCCTAGAGGCGCTTTTACCCAGTGCGTTTGAAATCCCTGACGCTAGACCAGCTAACGGGGCTACATTTAAGTAATGGAATTCCCCTGAATCTCTTCGGATCTCTTCAGGACTGGCCTAAATTTTGAAGAAAGTAGCTTTGAAGTTTTATAGGGCCACGCAGTATGCCAACCTGGAAAGACTCCAATTTGGCTCATCAAGAGAACTGCCGCAGGTAAGCTGTGGACATGTAGGGCAGGGCTCAGCCCCCAGTTCCTAAATCCACCACACGCTGGTTCCAGTGATTTGTTGTTATGAAAATGAAGCGGGTGGCGCTGTCAATAAGGATCTTATCTCGAGATTATCTAGAAAAATTGTTTTCAAGTACAAGTAAGACTCCCCCTCCCTAGAGGGCATGTAAGACTCCTCTAGTGAATCCCTCAACGGTGATGTACCCTGATTCAAATGTGAGCCAGGTCCCCACCTTGGCCGACCAAGAGTCCCGACGCCTCCCTTTGATTGAAGCCAGATGTTTCTAGGAGGTGCACGCGACAGGTCCTCGCAAGCCATTGTGTAGGCC